GTCAAACCACTCTCCCCCCCAAGACCCCCAAACAACACAGCTTGGGTTAGCAATGGCCACGCTACAAGGACCTGGGGGTGCATTTAGCCTCAGTGGGGCTTGCACTGTTTTGCTTGCCTTGGGGGCCAAATTCTGGCACGTAGAGGGGAGACGAAGACCTGCCAAAGGGGACAGAACCAGGCACAGCAGCAGGAGTCTGCTGGGCTCGCCGGAGCCCCTGTGCTTATCAGGTATCTCCCCCATGGCGTATCACAGGGGATGTGCAAGGAAAAGGTGCCTAAAGCTGCCACATTTTCCATCTCCAACCCCCCCAAACCTCTCTCTGCAGCTGGGAAGGGCGGCAGCCCCTGACGGTGCCCAAGGAAGGCTGCAGACCCCCGCCCCTGCAAACCTGCAGCCAACCTGCAGCGCTCCCTCAGTACAAATCTCCAGGTGCACTTTCAGCTCTGAAATGCAAAGATTTCTCTAACCCACAAGATGCAAAAAGTAACCCACCAGCCGGACAGGAGATGCTGGCCCCAGACATGACACGAGCAAGATACGTAACTGATGCCACCGTGAAGAGCAAAGGACAGGCCTGACTTATCCACCCTCGAAATGATGACAAGGAAAACACATCTAAGACATGTGCAGCACTTGATCTTTCAGAAAGCCCAGTCTTCTGCTGTGCAGCTTGCTTCTTGTGTCTCAAGGCACTGAAAAAACCAAAAAATAATCACAGCCCTGTCACACTCCTACAGGTGATTTAGTTTCTCCCGCAAGCACGGGCTCTGGGCTGGAGAGATGGTGCTGCAGCCAACAGTTCCATGCCTTCCTCCTGCCCCCAGCAGCACGGACACACGGAACCCCCAAACACAGGCTTGCTGCAAATACCCTCTCTGCTCTGCACACCCGCTCAGAGACCTGCTCCTGCTCTAGGGCTAAATCGTGCGGCCACCCCACATCTGCCCAGGCTGCGATTTCTCATGGATACATCACTGGGACTACCACCATCCGAAGCAGAGCACCTGCACGGGCACAGCTGGGGGAGGCAGTGTTATAAACGCCGAGTGGTTATCCACACATCCCTTCACACACTGCGATACAGCATTAAAAAGCTGAAAATCTCATTTATTTGCAGGTGTGGCATTCATAGCAACATATTCCTGCCCAAAGAGTTAAAGACATTCACTGCAATATTCCTTTGTGCTAGTTGGGAGGGACCGAACAAGGATTTTTACTTAGCACTACCTACTAAACTGAAGGCCTAAAGGTATTAATCCAGCAAGACAGAGAGAAATCTACCTCCTGGAGATCAAAAAGATGTGCCATTTCTCCAAAAGAGACATTTCCTTCAAGGTCTCTCAATCCAGGCCCATCCCCAAGCAGGAAAAGCCAACCAAAGCCAACCTTGCCATCATGCAGCGGGGCAAGAGAAGCCCTCCCAGGACATGGAGCCCAGCGAGCACAGTTCGGGGCATCCCTGTCTCCTCACAGGATGCTGGTGCTGCAGGAATAGCTCAGGCGAGCAAGGATTTGGAGGGGA